AACCGATCACATTCAGTGCGACCGTGATCGTCATGTTTTCGTGTCGCCCACGTAATCAGCGGTGTCAGTCCAGCTTATTTTTGGTTTTGAATAGAATACGGAAAAAAACTAAACAAAATAGTTGAGTCAGCCTTCCAATAGGAAAAAAATTAACTAAGCACATTTCCCATTGGTTCAGAGACTGTCACAAGCGAGAAAACTGACATTCTCTTGAGGAATGGGCAGGATTTTGGTCAAAGCGTGATGGACCGATAGTGAGAAATTTCCCCAATCAAACGTTAGTTAGACGGCGTTAGCCAGACTACTTTGACTGCAGCGGGAAGCCTACAAGTGGCTCAAAGGTCGGCGGCAGCAAAGTTAGCAAGCGATCCGACGGCCACGAGCTGTCCTTTATCTGCGAGAGGTGTGAACGCACGCTTGACCCAAGCCCAGCTGCGGCCGCTTATCAAAGACAAAATTATAGACCGGCGTCGCAGTGTCGGTAATCCAGAATCTGAATTATAGGCGGTGCAGTCGGACAATTGGCAAAAGGGCTTTGTAGCAGTTGTCACTTGTTGTTTGTAGTACAGGTGATTTTCTCGGCACGCACAACACCCACCGGCTTCCACTGGATAAGAAAAAACCAAAAATAACAGTGGACAGGCGTCGGCGCAGTGTCCAAAAGGCCAAACAAAGACACACGCAAAGGCCGTCCCACGTTCGATCAGAAGTGGGCATGATCGCGGTGAATGGCAGGAGAAAACAGCCCTCTGCGCGTACCATACACAGAATGGTTTGCATTTCAACTGCCAGTCAGGATAATTTCGCATTCAACATAGGTGGGGCCACACTAAACAGGAGTCACTGCAGCTTAGCTCTCACTCCAGAGATGAAAAGGGTAACCACGCCAGTTACCACGCTTCCAGGTAGCAACTGATAACGCGTCGGATTTATTGTAGTCATAAAGGCAATGATTTGGCGTGAGGATGGATTATCCATTGTCGGTCTCTTTCTTTCTTCCTCTCGCACGCACTAATGGCATGTCAAGTCAAATTTATGTTGAATGAAATGATGTGGTAGATGGCAGTGTCGAACTCTCCGTCTACCTGTGGTCCACACAACCTGGTTTCTACTGCACACATAGTAGATTTTATCAAAGGATGCGCTCCTCACGAACAGTAGGTGAACTAACTGATGAAATATTTCGAAGTTCACGAATGACTGTTAATCATCCGAAAAATGACAGCAATGCTTGAGCCTTATATCAATATTAATGAACATCAATTTCATCAGAATTGAAAACAGAAAAGAAATATTTAAGGCCATGTTTCATTGTTTAGAAATACCAGCTTTTTTAGAAAAGCGGAAAATTCCAAAACCGTCAGAAATGGTTGTAATTGTGTAAAGTTCAGTGCTAGACGTACAGAAGGCCTGCCCATGCGGACCATGCGTAAATATGGCAGCATACGTAGAATGACGTTTATTCAATTGTGTTTTATGAAGTTTACATTTAAATATCCTTTAAGAATTAATGTAATATCAGGTATTGCGGTTTGCCAACAGTCTACATCCCAAAACGTCTCCCAGAGAATTCGTTTGATTTTACGTGTTTTTGCATTCTGTTCAAAAAGGCAAACGGGATTTTGCTTCATTTTGCCGATAGAGACGTCATAGGGACAAAATTTTTCATAGGGCCACATGTTAACAAGCCGATCAGTGACTAGTAAATTTAAATAGATTTGGCAGATGTAATCGCTATCGCTGACTGCCCGTGTCATTGCTCGTACGTGAAATATACCAGCACCAGAGCTCTGTGAATAGTCAGGAGGTTGCTGTGATGGCCTCAGATGGAACGCAATCACTGAACAAAAGCCCGGCTGGTTTTGGAGACCGCACTTGCAACTGCGTCGTCTATTTTAACGACTCTGGAAAGTCTACTCGCCAAGAACGTGAGTTTACCTACCGGGGTGAGGCACGTTTAACTGACACTGATTCTGGACCCCTTGTAATTATTATTCGACGACGGGTGATGGTTAACCACTGCCTTCTTCATTGTGATGGACAGTCCGAAGCTGAAATAGTCTAAAACCGAGAGGCCAATGCATCTCTGCACGTTCGCCACCGTTGTGTTGTTTAGCGCGTAGTCATCCGAGGAGCAAAAGGTCGTAGACGCCACCTTTGACACATGTTTGCGTCAAATGCTGATCATTGTTCATTATTTCGGTAACAATTGTTCATTCCTGGAGGTCCCACGCAGTAGGCGTCCATCAGCATGGCGGATAGCACGAGACTGAAGGACAGTATTAACGAGAATACAGCCCTGCTTCGCCGAATTTGCCACTGGAAGGGCTTTCAAGATCGATGTGTATTCCGTCACGCTCATCATCACTTTGTCGTCAGGCTGTCTCTTCGTTTGCTTCAGTATGTTCGGTCTTTAAATTTCAGCATGATTTTCCAGGGTTTATCGCGCTTCTCTGTGTTGCGACTTTATCAGGTTCACGAAGGTGGCATATCCTTCAGCCTTGTGGGTCATCCCTATGTTCTGCGTTACCCTGGAGTAGGCTTCGAATCAGAATGGTGCGCACAAGGAAATGGTAGCATTTTGCACCAAACCGCCTGGTCACTAGTCTGTCATGCCGATATCGTCTCTTGGCGTGTACGTAGATCAGCAGTTTCTCGTGAGGAGAGCAGAGGATAGGGAGGTGAAGGACTGTTACACAGCCTCTCTTCAACCCCACCACCCAACCCCTCTCACCGCGTCCCCACCGACGATTATCATAGTGGACAGGACGTAAATGATAATTGAAAACAGGCATGTACAGAAGAATTTATTGGGGCCAATAAATTCCGTGACGGCTTATCAGCTGCATCCCGTCTCTGCGTAACATAGGTAATGAATGGAAGCGTACAGCATGCCTGTTTTCGATTCATACCCGGGAAAAAATGCTTCAGACGTAAATGATAATGTTTTCCCCGATTAACGAATAATATCTCACGAGTCCTGAGTTTTATAAGCAGTAATTGAAACCGGTCAGTGAATAACATTGATATTCAGAACGTGAAATGACCTGACAGCGGAGCACGCCAGCGAAGCGGGGGTTGTCCAGCCGAGTTGCTTTCGTCACGTTAAAATACGCAATACGGTAAAAGGAAGCGGTACTAGACTGTCAAAGGTGACTTATTCCGGTACCTCGTCACTGTATCCCCCTCCGAGACCGGAGAGCAACGTAAAACAGTGCCGGAGAATATGCATAAGGTCTAGAAAAAACGCGTAACAAAACGATCGGGGAAATGAACGTGACGGCCACTGCGAGTGATATAAGCAGGAGGTACAATTGAAGAGGGTTGAGTGCGTGACACGGTGAAAGAGGATGAGGTTGCAGTTGGATGCTGTGGACATGTAGGGAGAGGAAGTGTACGGGATGGAAGGGTAGAGGGCAAGGGAGGGGAAGGGAAAGGGAGCAGAGAAGGCGAAACACTAGAGAATCGTGGAGGTAGAGGAACAGGGGTAAGGAGGTCAGCACATTGTTTTCCTTGTGAGAGGTCCGGTGGTTCCTCTGCAACAGCAGCTTTGACCCGGTCGATGCTGACCACGTCTTACCTGTCACCACGAAGAATCCGGCAGGTCTTGGTGTTGCGTGCGAGCACACGGAACGGTCCTGCGTATGGTGATTTCAGCGGCTGGCGCGCACGATCAAACCGAACGAACACATGAATGCGGTTGTCCATGCCTTTTCCGACGTAAGACTCGGTCGTTGGAATTCGAGGTGGAACCGGGGAATGCGTACGCATGAATTGCCGCAGACGGGGCACAAAATTGTCGGGGTCTCGTCGACATCACGAGATCTTGGGATGATCATCTCGCCTGGCAGTCGGAGGGTAGTGCCAAAAACCAATTCAGCTGCACCACAGCCCAAAGCCGACTTCAGAGCTGCGCAAATGCCGAGGAGTGCAAGGCGAAGGTTGTCAGACCAGTTTTCCGGGTCTTATGCGGCACATGGGGCAGTCTGTAGCTGGCAATGGAAGTGCTGTACAATACCGTTGGCAGCTAGATGGTAGACTGTCGTCCGAATGTGCGTGAAGCCGAGAAAATTGAGGAGGGTTTGGAGGAGAACAGACTCACACTGCGCACCACGATTAGTCCTAACTGCAGATGGGGTACCGAAAGTGGCGACTCAATAACTGAAGACGGCCTTTGCGATTGTTCCAGCCTGCACATTCGGCAAAGGAATGGTTTCAGCCCAGTAAATGTACCGATCAAAGCAGGTGAGAGGGTGAGTATAACCATTAGATGGAGGTAAGTGGCCTACAACATCCAGGTGCACATGGCTGAACCATGCGTCGGAGCTGGGGAATGTACCTGGTGGTGACTTGTTGTGGTGTTACACCTTGTTGCGCTGGCAATTCAGACGCAAACATGCCCGAGCTTTGACGCCGTTGTTCATGCCAGGGCACACGAACCTTTTCGCAAGGAGCTTTTATGAGGCTCGGATCCCAGGGTTCGATAGTCCATGGAGAGTTTGAAAAACAGCTCGACGCATAGAGACGGACACAAAAGCGCGATGAAAAGGGGCCGAGGCGTCACACAAGATTGTGTCGGTACCAATGGTCAACGGGATATCTACGGTAAGACCACTAACGGACTCGTTGCCAGGGCAACCAACAAGCTGTTGCCCATTCACCATGGCACAAATGTCGATCCCATGAGAGAGATGAAATGCTGAGATGGCAGGTCTGGAGAGCGTGTCAGCCACCTTATTTTTCGTGCCATCGATGTGGCGGATGTCGGTGGTGAACTGGGAAATGTAGGTTAAGTGAGCGAATTCCCTCGGGTTGTACTTGTCTGAATGTGGTCATATAGCAGATATAAGTGGCTTATGGTCCTTAAAAATCGCGAAGCCACAACCTTCAAGGAAAGTACGAAAGTGTTTCACAGCCAGGTAAGTGAAAAGAAGTTTATGATCAAGGGTACTATATCTCGTCTCAGCAGGCGGCAGTTTCCTAGAGAAGAAAACCAACGGTCATGTGGAGCTGGTTAGGTTTTGTTGGAGGACTGCTCCTACGGCAGCGGTTGAGGCGTCAACCATGAGGGACAGCGGGGCTTCGAGAGCAGCTTGCTTGAGAAAGGCAGCGTCGGCAAGGTGGGCCTTGATTTTCTCGAAAGCAGTCAGTTCGTCACCAATAAGCTTAAGGGAACCTTTCGGACCAGAAGGCATGTTTGTGAGTGGCAGCATAGGTTGGTAAATTTCGGTATGAACCGGCAGTAAAAGTTGACCATGCCGATAAAACGTTGCAGCTGACTTTAGAGGTTGGTAGAGGAAAATCATGAGTGGCTTCGACCTCGGAGGGAAGAGGACGCAAACCTTCTGGGTCAACATGATGGCCAAGAAATTCAAGGGAAGGCACACCAAAGCACAATTTGAGGGGTTAATGACGACGCCATACTTGCCGTGGTGGTCTAACACCAAGGTCAGATGCTCTTTGTGTTCTCCGGCATTTTGGCTGGCCACCAAGAGGTCAACGATGTAGGTGTAAACAAACGGTAGGCCGCGTAAGACATGGCCATTGAACCTCTGGAACGTTTGGACGGCATTACGAGGACCGAAGGACATCCGGATGAATTCAAGAAGGCCAAAAGACGTATTGACAACACTTTTGGAGATATATTCAGGGGCGAGCGGAATCTGATGAAAGGCACGCACCAGGTCCATCTTCGAGAAAACCGCTCTGCTGAAAAGGGCTCCAACAAAATTCTGAAAATGAGGCACAAGGTACTGATCGGGAATGGTAGCGTTGCTGAGGGTGTAGCGGGCAACCATAATGACCGGTCTGGCGTCATTGTTCAAGACGTCGCTGCCTCAAGGTCATTCGCCCTTTTACAGTGAGCCGTTCCAGGCGCGCTGGCCTGAAGTCATACGACCGACAACTCGGGCATACCTGCGTCCGCACAGCCGCAGCTGCTCATGCGGCCACTTGAATGCACCTCCCCCCGGCAACCGCAACCTAAGCCATTGGGACACCACAACTCGGCAAATGCAACTCATACTGACTGGTGCCACTTGAGTTTGGCCCACGAGCCTGTAAAAGCGGCTGCCACCACTGTCCCAGAGACTCTCAGGCCTGACTGGACGCAATCAACACAGCCCCTGGTTTCACCAGTGGTCACTGACGCCTGAGAGAATAACTCTAGGTTTTGTATACATGAAACCCCTCATTCAGGTGTCACCTGTCTTCTACGTGCAACATAGGATTGGACCTGATTATGGTAACGTTCAGACTACACACACACACCCGCACTCCATTCCGTATAACCGCAACAAGGGCACGGTAGTCGTCACAAGGTCTCCAGTCGTTCGATGTCGCATTGGGCACCATGTACTAGGGGGGGGGGCGCCCAGGGGCTCTCGGACGGTCGAATGATTTCCAGTTGCAGCATGTGTTCGAAATCAGCCTTCCCGGCCTGAAAACGGGCCGGTGCTAGTCGTCTCGGCTGAGGACGTGAGGTGCGGATATGGTGCACAACATCATGTTGGATCTCACACTGCGAAATGGGGGTTGATGATGTTGGGTTGTCTAAGAAACAGTTTCCGAAAGGAAATAGTAATATCTGTATCCAGGACAGATAAGTTGGTGGGGGCAGTAAAGGGAGTTAGTCCACAAACGGACAGATCGGTTGTGCGATCGAAGAGTCAGGATCATTGGCAGTCAACAAGGAGATCGAACTCGGCAAGGAAGTCTGACCCGAGGATTGCATGGGGAAAATCGCCAATCACAAAGACCCAGGAGAAAGACCGACGAAGGCCAATGTTTAGGGTGACGGACAGATTGCCAGAACTGGGAATGGGGGAACAGTTGGCAGCTTGGGGGGTGAAGACCAGAGTTGGGGAA